CTTGTTCCTGCTGCTGACCTGCTGTGGGACAGCGGAATGCCACCCGACACAGGAGATGTCAGGGTGATTGTGAGCCTTGTCCGCCTCCTTGCAGTGGGTAGACCTGGTCCTCAGAGGTCTTCCATTGCTGTCCACCCTGTGGTCCCTGCTTCTGTAGCACTGTCCTGCCTGCCCCGACAGGTGACAACATCTTCCGGAAGTAAGTGCTTTTCCTGCCGGTCCGCAGCTGAGCGCGATAAGTGGATGGAGAACCTGCGGCGAGCTGTGCACCCCAATAAGGTAGGCCTGCACCCTCTCCCACTGGAGCATGAGAGATGGAGTGGGACATGAGGAAATGGGAAGAATGACCCCTGGGTGTAGGCAGGGTCCAAACAAACTGTAAAAGTTTGAATTGGTCATGCTGAGATGCCTGAGCTACCTGGAACCTGTTCCCAAAGCTATGTATTGAGGCTGGGCCACAGAGATGGGTATTAGTTGGGCCTGTGGGCCCCTGTGTCCTTTTGTCTGGAACTCCTGTAACCCACATTAATCATAGTTTACTGGCTCATCTATCATGTTCTAACTTAGACGTCTGCCCCTTCCTTCAGGCAGGCAACCTCTTGCCCAGCTTGGTGCCCAGTTGGGTTTCTACTGTCCCTGGGCTCTCCTATCTGGTTAGGACCCTGACTGTAATCCCTGCTCCTGTATCTGTCTCCTTAGGTGACTTGTGGGTCTGGGCTAGGGAGAGTCTTGGTTACCATGACATCACTAAGGAAAGGACCTTAGCAGTAGTGATCTTTTAAGTTACCATATAAACCAGCAAACTGAGGCACAAGACATCAATACCTTGTGATGGGGCAGGTATTGTGCTGACCTTCTTCCTCAGTTTCCCTCTCTGAAGCAGTTTATAGAAAAGCAAAGTGAGATTCAGGTTAGGACACTTGTCAAGTTCAGTGAGCTAGCTCATAGTCAGCAAAGGACCCCAAATCCAGCCGTGTTCACCAGACTCGTCCCATGTCAGGACCTGAGCCTTCCCTGGGGCTCAAGGCGTCCCTTCCAGATGCTGTGGATTCCTGTAATGGCTAGGGAGTGGGTACCAGTCATAGCTGACCATCCTGGGCCCCTGTGCTTATACAGGACAACAGCCGGCGTGTGGAACATATCCTGAAGCTTTGGGTGATCGAGGCCAAGGACCTACCGGCCAAGAAGAAGTACCTGTGTGAGCTGTGCCTGGACGATGTGCTCTATGCCCGCACCACAGGCAAGCTCAAGACGGACAATGTCTTCTGGGGTGAGCACTTTGAGTTCCACAACCTGCCTCCTCTGCGCACAGTCACTGTCCACCTATACCGGGAGACTGACAAAAAGAAGAAGAAGGAGCGCAACAGCTACCTGGGCCTGGTGAGCCTGCCTGCCGCTTCAGTGGCTGGCCGGCAGTTTGTGGAGAAATGGTACCCAGTGGTGACGCCCAACCCCAAGGGTGGCAAAGGCCCTGGGCCTATGATCCGCATCAAGGCACGCTACCAGACTATCACCATCCTGCCCATGGAGATGTACAAGGAGTTTGCCGAGCATATTACCAACCACTACCTGGGGCTGTGTGCAGCCCTCGAGCCCATCCTCAGTGCCAAGACCAAGGAGGAGATGGCATCTGCCCTGGTGCACATCCTGCAGAGCACAGGCAAAGTTAAGGTACGTGTAGCCCGCCACTAGTGGAAGGCCTGGTAACAGGGAGGGGTGCCTCTCACATAGTGCTGGTGGAGGAGGCATGGATCAGAGACAGATGCTCTCACTAAGCAGGGGCTGTCATGAGGAGAAGGGCTTCCTACTAGGGCTGATTCTCAAGGCACGGGTGAAGCCCTCGTAGTGGGGGTGGGGTTGGGTTGCCTTCAAGTGCTTCCCCTACTGTCCTCAGACTTGTCTGAGCAGCAGACAAGTAGCTGAGCCCTCCTAATGTACATGGGCCCCCAACCTACCCACCACAGCCACCTAAACCCACATTGCTGCTGGCATGTTGGGCTCAACCAATATTCCCAACAGGTGAACCACCATCACAACCCTAGCCTCACCTATATCCTCACACCAGACACAGAGATTTCACCTGCACACACAAAGACACATGCATGCATGCACAGTCAGCTGGCCCCAGCATCAAAACCCGAGAGAAATGGCGATTAGAAAGCCATGTAGGTAGGTCCCATGTTGGATAGATCTAGCTATCCTACCTTTTACATCCTGGCACTCCCCAAAAAGGGGCATAGCAAGTTCCCCCAAGACTCAGCTTCATTCCCTGGCTTTGGAGGTGACTAGACTTTTGGTCTGGGGTAGCCCTAGGAAGTAGACCATATCCTACCTGTCCAGCTCAGTGGAACATGGCTTTGGAACCTCCTCTTTACCCTACCTCCCCTCTTGGAGGAGCTGCCCAAAGCAGGTGGAAGGAAGAAGGCCTGGCCTGGGCTAGGCCGGCCTTTTGCAACATGGATAGGCCCCAAGGTGTGGTCTATCTGAGGAGCTTGGCCTTGGCCCAATGGTTTGAGAACCAGTGGCTTATGTGATAAGAGCTGGGGGATGGTTGGTGTCAAGGTCCCGAGTCCTCAGCAAGATTCAAGGAAGCCCAGGTGAGGGAATGAGGCAGGCAGAGTGCAGTGGTGCAGGACTCCATGGATGCCCCTTGCATTCTTCCCAGAGGTCCTATCAGGGAGGCTGGGTTGCAAACCACTTGGCCTCTGCAGCCCCCAGCACCTCTGTTGTGTGGCACTGTGCCACAGGACAGCCCTTGGGAGAGGAACTCCCTCATATGATCATTGCGAGGGGGGGGTATGCCTTCCTCTGTACTTGGGTTACTGGTCCCTGCCTTCAGATGTGCTGGCTGCAGGTGCCACCTGGGACCCCTCTGGCCACATTGCTGAGATACTGTCAGTGATGGGCCAGGGTGCTGACAAACAGCAAATGGGAAAAGCTGTGACCTAGCAAGGGTGTGGGGAAGTAGCAGAGGCTTGAGCCTGCCCCGATACTGGATAGAAGCCTCAGTGGAGCTCTTACCTTTGCTTAGAAGATTTCAAGGATGACCTTCGAGGTCATATAAAAGTCAGGAAGAGATCCTGGGGTTGCACAAATGCAGTGAAGCCAACCACAGTTTTCCCTAGGTCCATCCTTGTGTTGCGCAGTCTGCTCTCCTGAGTTTGGGTCTTGATTCTGTATTTCCAAGAGCCCCAAAGTTGGCACGTTAGAATGAGAAACCCTGGCTCATGCTGGACATGTTGCAGGCTCTGTGTTGGTTAGCCCTCTTCCACCCCCCTCCCCCCCGCCCCGAGTCTCTGCCTACCTGCCTGCCTCTTCTCCCTGCTCCAGAACACAGGTAGGCTGGGGGCAGCTGCTCTCTGGGCAGTGCCATAGTTAGGAACAGCATAGCTGAGCTCCTCTACTTGCCTCTTCTCACAATACTGGGTAGGACCTGGTGTGTAAGCGATTCACCAATTTGCTTTTGAGACAGTCTAGGGCCCACAACCCTGCGGGGCCCCAGCCAGAGCCCTGCAAGGTAGACATCAGTCTTGTTTGCATGAGCTTGAGGCTTGCTGGCAGCTCTGTCACCTCTGACCTCCCCTCCTTTTCTGTGGGGCTGCAGAGAACAAGTCTGTTAGGTGGAAAGCCCCCAGCAGACTTAAGGTGGTCCTGGTGGCCGTACCCTGACACAGAGTGGACCTGTCTGTCCTCTTCAGAGGATCACGCTTCTCTGTGGCCGCCTATCAGACCCAGTAGGACTGAACAAGGGTTGAGTTCAGCCAGTCTGAGCATGATGGTATGAGGTGGTGGCCCCCTGTAACACACTCATGTCTAGTCCTACCTCCCCATCCTCACACCCACCACTGATGTCACCACCTCGAGGCTCCTCCATCATCAGTCTTGCTGTGCTCCCCACTAGTGGCCAGAGTGGGTCCTCAGCAGTATGGTGCGGGAGCCTCCTTGAGAAGCTGGGGCATCTCCTCTGGAGTCCTCTGGTCCTGCCAGCAGGCCAGCTCGGATCCCACTCTGCTCACCTCCTGCTTCCACAGGACTTTCTCACAGACCTGATGATGTCGGAGGTGGACCGCTGCGGGGACAACGAGCACCTCATCTTCCGGGAGAACACGCTGGCCACCAAGGCCATCGAGGAGTACCTCAAGCTGGTGGGCCAGAAGTACCTGCAGGATGCCCTAGGTAGGGGAAGTGTAGGCTGGCGGTGGGCAGAGGGCTGAGTGGTGCCCGCCTGCTGCTCACTCCCTGCCCTGCTCACCTGGCCACAGGGGAGTTCATCAAGGCGCTATATGAGTCGGACGAGAACTGTGAGGTGGACCCAAGCAAGTGCTCTGCTGCTGACCTCCCTGAGCACCAGGGCAACCTCAAGATGTGCTGTGAACTGGCCTTCTGCAAGATCATCAACTCCTACTGGTCAGTGCAAGCCCAGGGCCTCTGGGGAACCATGTGGTATACTTGGGAGTCAGGCGGTCTTGCACTGTTGACTTACCTGTCTATCTGTTCTCTATCAGTGTGTAACAGCATGCCACGCACTGGGCTCAGAATCTACCCACTGCCAGGCCCTGCTGAGTGAATGGATTGCCAGGCTTCTGTTCTGGTCCTTTGGGGGCTCTTGAATATTGGAGACTGCTCTAGAATGTTTTCAGGGCAGTTTTAATGGTGTTACTTAGAAAGAAGCAGACATGGCAGTGTGTCTGCATGTGACTGGTGAGTGCTGTGTGCCTGTGGAAGGAGGCTGGTGCAGCACTGAGCGGGACGGATGGGGCCCTCAAGGGCTCTTACTCCCAAGATTCTTCACTGTTAGTTCCTGGGACTCATGGTACTCCCAGCCCAGGCCCAGCCCAGTGTGAATGCATAAACAGGACTCCTGATAAGCCATGAGAACAAGGAAGAAAAGTGCCTTTAAACAGAGCAAGACCTGTAGGAGTGGGATGCTCATATGGACCATGAGCAGGGCAGGACTCATTCCCTGGAGAAGTTCCAGTAAGGCTTGCCTCCAGGCACCTGCTTATTATTGGCCAGCCAACTTGGTGCCTAGTTGATCTGCCCTCTTTGAGGAAGGGCTTTGTGATTAAGAGGGCCTTGTTGGTGCCCCAAGTGGGTTTATTTTCACACTGGGGGAACTAGCCAGACTTCAGCCGGTGTGTCTGCTCCACTCGGGTGCTCAAGCATCTTCATAGCCATATGTCCTGACTTTGATTATTTCTTTCATTCACCCTCCTTGACCCCCATGTGTTCCTATCCTCAGTCTGCCATCTGCTCCTCTGGCCCTTCATCTTTCCAAATGTGCTTTGTGCAGCCACATAGAGTTGTGTTCCATTAGAGTGGGATTGGGTGTGAGTGGGATGGCATCTACATCTGAAAGTTTCTTTCCTCTACATATACAGCAGCGCCCTAGGGGCTGGCAGCTCTCAACTCCGCCAGCTCTTGGCTGGGCATGCAGGAGAGCCCAGGAAGTGTTTATTGCTCTCAAGGGACAAGCAGAGGCAGTCTTGATAGACGGAATGTCCAGATGCAGGAAAGTGTGCCCACCTGCCCAGGTCCCTTAGGTTGTTACACAGGTGCCCTCCTAGGGCAGCTCACCTTGATCTGAGCCAGATATGCACAACTTCCCACTTTCTTAGGCCCTGGGGGAGCAATCAGAAAACCTTGAACTCTGTGTGAGTGTTCTCCCTTCCCACCCCCACTAGGCTGGGCTTTGACCAACTCTGCCCCCGTTCCAAGGCGGATGGGTGTGGGACACAGGGAAAACACTGTGGACAAGAATTTTCCATTTCCTTTTTCTGGCATATATCAGAAGCTTTTCGCTTATACCATTGGTAGATAATCACCACTCAGTGCCTATCCCTGCCCAGTTTTGTGCTGGGCGCCATGAGGTCCAGGGCTGAGGGCCACTTCCCTCCCTTCCTTCCTCTTTTGGCAGCACCATTGGTCCAGCCACAGTCACTTCGGTAGAGCCTGTTGTGCTGGCTGTGGAGTTTATACAGATCAAAACCTCTTAGGGCCTTGTCACCTCAGCCTGAAGTTGGCTCTGTGAGCCTGGTAGGGCAGACCTTGCTCTCAGATTAAAGGATTAGCCAGGCATGAACTGGGAGCACCAGGACCTGGTTTGCCCAGGATGGGTATGCATACTAAGGTGTAAGACAACAGAGCCACTTCAAAGTGGGCCGGGTAAGGCCTAAGGAGCAGGTCAGGATGGCCAGTGGAGCCTTGAACCCTGGCTCCTAGTGTCTTCTTCCTCGTGTAGAGCACGAGGAGCTGTGTTTTTAGTCTGTGAATAAGGTTACTTCTCTCTTCTTGATCACTCAGTTAGACTGAAAACCTCAAACCCCCGTGAGATATTTCAGGCAAAATAAGTGAGTGTACAGGCAGTGATGGCAGCCCAGGGACAGGTGATCTGTGCCTGCACTTTCTTCTCTTTCTTCCCCAGACCCAGGTGCCTGCTGTTGGGTAGAAAGATGTGTTGTCCCTGGGCAGGTAGAAAGGAGGTTCAGGTTGTTGTTCCATTAGGATGCTGAGCCAGCTCTCCTGGCCTACTCATTTCCATGCTCTGATTTGAGCCTCAGTCTCCTGCTGGCTGAGCACTCTGTCTGCCAGCCCTGTGCTGGGCACTCTCCCACTGTACTGTCTGAGCTCTCCAGCAGCACTACCCACCCAGTGGGCAGCCCTCACCAATGGATGGCTAACAGGCTGAGTCATGGATACAAGGAGCTCAGTCTTCACACCAGATTCTGCCCTGAACCCCCCTGTCTTGGGCCCCTGCTGACCACCAGGGCCATCCTGGTCTGTCTCTACACAGCGTCTTCCCAAGGGAGCTGAAAGAGGTGTTTGCCTCGTGGCGGCAGGAGTGCAGCAGCCGTGGCCGGCCAGACATCAGCGAGCGGCTCATCAGTGCCTCCCTCTTCCTGCGCTTCCTCTGCCCAGCCATCATGTCCCCCTCGCTCTTCAACCTGCTGCAAGAGTACCCCGATGACCGCACCGCCCGCACCCTCACCCTCATAGCCAAGGTTACTCAGAACCTGGCCAACTTTGCCAAGTAAGTGTCACATTCCCTGACAGACAGAGAACTACAAGCTGGAGTGCACAGGGATAGGCACCTGGGGTGCTTTGACCCTGAGTTGGGCGAGGCCAGAGCTCCTGCTTTCATCCCTGTCATTCTTAGTTCCTCCTTGCCTCTATTTCCAAATAGAACCTCCTCCACACCCCATTCTCCTAGTAAAGTACTTGCCATTTTGGTATGTTTGTTTTATTTCCAAAGTCAAGAAGACAAGATTTTTTTTTCCCTTTTGCCTTTTTGAATTAACATTATCAGAAGGACTCCCCTGTCCCTTAACATTCCTAAGCACTATTTTGAAACCAATGACTAATACGCTGTGTTTCCTTAACCATTCCCTGTGTGGGTTCAGACTGCCCTGGGTTAATGTTGTCAAGATAACTTTGCTTATAAAAAACACTTCTAAGTGTTTTCACTGCATTCTTAAAGCATGTAGGTATAAGTTGCAAGGCTGGGTCCTCTTGTTCATTCACAAAGTGTGAATTGTGGCCTGTACCAGGACTATCTCTGTGCTGGGCCCTGACATCGGGTCAGCTCTGGGCCCTCAAAAGCTTAGCTCACTGACAGGGTGATACACAGTAAACAGTGTAGCAGAGCAGTGACCAAGGCACACATCAGAGTCTCTGGAGGACCTGAGGTTGCAGGAAGAGAAAACTAAGAGCCCATTCATCTGATGCCTGGAAGGATATCAGGCTTAGAGGCTGGTGTGCCATGGAGGAGGGCAGTAGCACTGCTAAAAAAAAAAAAAAGTCTGGAGCATCAAGTGCTAGGCCAGGAGAAGCCAGAGATAAGGCCAAAGGCACAGCAGGGACCAGAAGGCCACATGAGGCATGGGGAGTCACCGAGAGGTTTAAAGAAGTGGGAGGCTGGCCCTTCTCTCTTCGGATCCTGAAAAGATCACCCAGTCAGCAGTGCAGTGTGAATGGCAGCCAAGAGACCCAAGAGGAGAGCATAGCTCTATGTGTCTAGCAAAAATGTCAAAAAGCCTAGAGAGGAAGAGCAGTGTAGGATGTGGTCAGGTGATGAAGTCAGCAGGCCTTGCCAGTTGGAGATGTAGAAGAGGGAAGACTAGGCTACTGCCAAGCTTCTGGCTCGGGCATCTAGATGGATGTTGTTCTCTTCACTTAGGAGAGGGAGCTTGAGAGGAGGCATGATTTGCGTGTGATGACTTCAGGCTGAGTAGGAGTTGCTCCCAGGGGAGGTGAGAAAACTGAGCAGGGAGACCTGGGCCCAGTATGGACCTGAGAGTCATCTGCGCTGGGCACTGACACTTGGAGGAAGAGACCATAACAAAGTCCTGTGGGAGTTGCGGGATTAAAGGTCCCTAGGTGGGCTGTTAGGCTTGGGTTTGAGAAAGGGAGGCCATGGTGTTGTGGGTCACAGTAGATTCCATTGGCTTGGGATGCTGTGGTGGAAGCTGGTAAGGGGATGAGAACTTAGGGACAGTGATGGCTCAGGGAAGGTTTGCTCACTCCTGCTGCTGCCTCTTTCCAGGTTTGGGAGCAAGGAAGAGTACATGTCATTCATGAACCAGTTCCTGGAGCATGAGTGGACCAACATGCAGCGCTTTCTGTTGGAGATCTCCAATCCTGAGACCATCTCCAACACAGCAGGCTTCGAGGGTTACATCGACCTAGGCCGTGAGCTCTCCAGTCTGCACTCACTGCTCTGGGAGGCCGTCAGCCAGTTGGAGCAGGTGCCTGTGGCTGTGGCTCAGAGGGTGGGGCCAGCGGCCACTACAAAGCTTCTTGTGTTCTTCCTTCCAGGGTAGCCTTGAGGTCAGAGGGTCTGCCTGTGTAGCCTGGGTCAGCCCCCAGGTGCCTGCAGCTCTGGCTCGTAGCTCAGCTTCTGTAGAACACACCAGGGGTCTCTGGGCTCCATTTTCTTTGTGGATGTTGAGTGCAGTGTTCACCATCCAGCACCAGTCACAGCAGCTTGGAGTCCTGGGGCCTGGGGCTGTGCCTCAGGCCCTGCACACGTGGTGGCCGGGTTCCATATAGGAAGGCTCACCTCCTTCCTAAGTGATGTGAAAAATGAGATTTACCTTAAGAACTTCACCAAAGTTGTCCTGGCTCTGGGCTTGGGGGCCACTTAGCATGGAAAGATTGACGCTAGAGGTGTGTCACTCTTATGTAGTGTGCACATGGTTCCTTTGATCCTCAGAACCACAAAACAACATTCAAAACAAACAAAAAAACCTCTTTCTATCATTGCTTTCAGTCATCAGTTGACAAGGTGATTCCTTAAACATTGACTGCCTCAGTGACTTCCATGGAGCTGTCCCCAGCCTGGGGTTCCACAGATTCCCTCACCCACCTAAGCCGCCACAGGCTATTGATGTTACAGTCCAGACCTGCCAAGAACCATGTCTTGAATACCTCGCTTTCCAGGGTTCTGGAGGTCCCCTGCATAAAGACAATCCCACTGCCGTTGGTCCTGTCCCTAGAGGTGACTGTCCCTCCAAGCACTCCAACATGGCAGACTTTTATACGGTCTGCACACAGGCACAAGCACGAAAAGTTCCCTTTCGTAGTTTGTTTTCAAGTGAGAACTTTCCGCGTGCACTGCCATGTGTGTTTTTGCCGTCTTTCCAGGCATCTTCCCATATCACTGCGCCCTGTGCTGCTGCTGAGGTTTCTTAGCGGCCGCTCACCATCGTGTCACGAGAATGTGGTTTATTTCACCCATCCTCTAGTGATGGGCACTTGGGTTAGTCGCAGCTTTTTGCTGAAACTGCTGCTGTTGCCCTTGCAGCCAAGTCATTTTGTGCGTGGTTATCTACTTACCTTTGGCTGTGAGAGACCCAGGAGTCAGGTGTGGAAAGGAAGGCCAGGTCCCTCACTCTAGTCCTGAGCCTGCACTGCTAGGCACTGTCCCACAGATTTCACACTTGGACAGGAAGTGTGGAAGGTGATTGGCATGACAGATAGGGTGTAACAAGGATTCAGACTGAAACTGTTTGCTTCCACACATCTGTGTTAATGGTACAGGTTTTCATATTTCACTTTCACCCACTAACACATGGACTTCCACTGTACCAAAGCAGTGTTGCCATCTGTAAGTTCAGTCCTCTGTCCAGAACGCTCTCTACTGTGTCTAAGCAGTGGCAGTGAGGGTCAGATGGACTCAAGTTCTGCCCTCTGTCTGGACAACATCCTGTGATGCCTCCTCTGTGCCTGAATCATTTCCTTGAGCTCAGGGGTCAGAATAGTATGACCTTGCCCGCCTTGTGGTTTAGGGAGCAGGAAGGGGCTGCCACAGAAATCCTTGGATGAGGAGATGTAGACGTGGGGAATTATGGCTTCCCTATGGACTTTCCTCTCTGGCCCGGGCATCAGGGCAGGGAGAACTGTCATATTAGTGGGTCTCCTGTCCCAGGAATATCTGTCTACAAAAGAAGACTTAGAAATGGTTGGACTTGTTCCTTCCCAGACCCACTGGATCTGACCAGTGGGGATGGGGATCAGCATTTTTGATGGCTTCCCCGGGGGCTTTGAACCACTGAGTAAGTCCTGCAGCTGTATAGGACTCATAGCTCCCCAGAGTGTCCCCAGTAAATGACATCTGTCTTTTGCTATATCTCTGTAGAGCATTGTGTCCAAACTGGGCCCCTTGCCTCGGATTCTGAGGGATGTCCACACAGCACTGAGCACCCCAGGCAGCGGGCAGTTCCCTGGGACCAATGACCTGGCCTCCACGCCAGGCTCGGGCAGCAGCAGCATCTCAGCAGGGCTGCAGAAGATGGTGATTGAAAATGATCTCTCTGGGTAAGAGCTGCCAGGTGTGCTGAGTGAAGTGGAGCATGCGCGCAGACTAGTTATAGACCATCAGTGGTCTCAGATGTGGGGAGAGGACCCCCACACAAGTACCTTTGAAACAAGCCTGAAGAGACTCAGTATATTTGGCAGGCCTAAGTTACAAGCCGGTTTAGAGAAAAATCAGTAAAGTTTTCCTGGAGGAGGCCGAGCCTTTTGGGAAAAGTAATATTTCCACTGGTAGACATGGCATTTTAGATCAAAGGCCTAGAGAAAGACAACCTGTGCTCAGGAACCATTACTGGTCCCAAATAACTCTAGACTTTGAGATTTCCTGCACTTCAACATGCCCCTCAGTATTTTCCAGGCCTTCAGTAGTCAGGGGTGACCTGTCAAGTTGAGGCTAGGAGCTTAGAGAACACAGAGGTCCTGAGCCTGCAGCACAGGCCACAGCCTGTCAACCCTGGAGGAGTTGGGACAGGTGCTTTGGGTATTTGCATCAAAATAAGGGCCCTTCCTGAGAAGCCTAGTGTTCAAGCTTCTCTGGTGTACTCTATTCCTTTTCCCAGTCCCTCATCTCCAGGGGCCTTCTTAGGCCCACCTGTGAGGGTGAGACCAGAGTAGCAGAGTGGGCAGTGTGTGCTCACTCCACAAAGTGGCAGCAGCACAGGCCTTGAAGCAGGTAGGGGTGTTGAGCCAGGTCTGGGAGGGAGAATACCCGGAGGAGGCCGCCATGCCAGTCCCCAGTTCCTCTGAGCATTGGCTTGGGGGTCTGTTCACTTAACTTGCTAAGGGGGCGCAGAGCAATCCCAGCAAGAGTTCAGGTGGGGTCACCTGAAGGGCTGTGAGGCAGCCAGGCCTGTGTGCTGAGACCTGATCTGTGTGTTACAGCATGGCCCCCCAGGCCTCCAGCTGGTCGTGGTTTAATCCCCACTGTCTCTTGCCCTTGTTCATTAAGTGCGGTGACCCCACGTGGCTAGCTGCCTATCTTGGGGCTTAGTTATCTGTTCCCTTGGAGGTCCTGTTAATCAGCCCCCCATCATAAGCCTGTGTCAAGATGCTGAGGTCTTTGCTGCTGCTTATCCACTCAAAGCCTTGCCACCCCACATTCTTCCTCCATGGCCAGCCTGGGTCCACCACAGCAGTACTGGCCTCCAGGGAGGTCCAGAGAGAGGTTTCAGCCAGGTGTTGAATAAGAAGGAGGCCAAGGGTGTGGCCAGCCAAGGTGGGGCAGAGCCTGCAGCACAGGTTCAGACCCCCTCCCTGCCTCGCTCCTGCACCCTGATTCTGTTTTTATCAGAAATGCCAGCCTCCGCTTGCCACTCACAGAGTGGCAGTAGGAGGCTGGGTAGAGGGAGGTTTCACCAAGCTGATGAGGAACAAGAGAGGAAAGGCAGAAGGAGACTCCGGGACTTGGAAACCACTATGAAATGCAGGGCCCAGGAGTGGCAGAGAGAGAGAGAGAGCCACGGGGCCGAGGGCCTGGGATGACTTGGGGTTTCCCAGAGCACATGGTACCAGTGCCTGATGTCCCAGGATGCAGCGCAGCAGGGAAAGGGCCTTTAGGGCAGCCAGCAGGGCTGGTCCCTAGAGCAGAGGTTCTGTGTGGGGAGCTCTGGCCACCAGTCCTGGGAATCACCCCTCTGCCACCCAACTATCCCCCTCCACGGCCCTGGCTTGGCTTCCGGACCCCGGCAGGTTGGCAGTGCTGTTGTTTTGGACCCATGTGGCTGCACTTACAGTTCTTCTCTTCCCCTTCTTTCCCTGTGTGTGCTTGTCTCCCTGCAGTCTGATAGATTTCACCCGGTTACCGTCTCCAACCCCCGAAAACAAGGACTTGTTTTTTGTCACAAGGTCCTCCGGGGTCCAGCCCTCACCTGCCCGTAGCTCAAGCTACTCAGAAGCCAACGAGCCCGACCTCCAGATGGCCAATGGTGGCAAGAGCCTGTCTATGGTGGATCTCCAAGATGCCCGCACGCTGGATGGGGAGGCGGGCTCCCCAGCGGGCCCTGACGTCCTTCCTGCTGACGGGCAGGCTTGTGCAACTCAGTTGGTCGCCGGGTGGCCAGCCCGGGCAGCCCCCGTGAGCCTGGCAGGGCTAGCCACAGTGCGGAGGGCGGGCCAGACACCCACAACACCAGGCACCTCTGAGGGTGCGCCAGGCCGGCCCCAGCTGTTGGCACCACTCTCCTTCCAGAACCCTGTGTACCAGATGGCAGCCGGCCTGCCACTGTCCCCTCGCGGCCTTGGTGACTCGGGCTCTGAGGGCCACAGCTCGCTGAGCTCCCACAGCAACAGTGAAGAGCTAGCGGCCGCAGCCAAGTTGGGAAGTTTCAGCGCTGCCACAGAGGAGCTGGCCCGGCGGCCTGGCGAGCTGGCCCGGCGGCAGATGTCACTAACTGAGAAGGGTGGGCAGCCTGCGGTGCCAAGACAGAATAGTGCCGGTCCCCAGCGAAGGATCGACCAGCCGCCACCCCCTCCACCACCACCACCTCCTGCCCCCCGAGGCCGGACACCCCCCAACCTCTTAAGCACCCTGCAGTACCCACGGCCCTCGAGTGGAACCCTGGCGTCCGCCTCGCCTGACTGGGCTGGCCCTGGTGCTCGGCTGCGGCAGCAGTCCTCCTCCTCCAAAGGAGACAGCCCGGAGCTGAAGCCACGCGCCATGCACAAGCAGGTCAGCACTGGGGGGCGGGGGGCTCTCAGCCGTCCCACATGGCACCCACAGCATGCTCCTCAGTCATTCCACCTCACCGCACCCAGCTACCATCCCATGCGGAGCGGTGCCATGGCTTGCCCATCCACCAGCCTGGGAACCGGGGCTGCCACAGCCTTAAGGAGCTCCAGGTTTCTGTACCAGTTCTCACAAGGTCAGGCTGGGTCTGGGAACAAGAAAGAGGGACTTGTTCATCTCCAGGCCCATGCCTGGGACAGCCCTGGCCCTAAGCCCACGTCCCCCTGCCCTGCTCGGGCTCTCACACTTCCTTCCTCCCCAAAGCATTCACATAGGCCGAGCTGGCCCCTGGCCACAGCTGCCAGGAGCTTGGACAGTCTCCATCACCCAAGGGCTTTGGCAGGACACGGATAGATGGGCTGCAGGTGGCACCCCCAGCCCGGTGCTGACCAAGCCTGGTATAGACACCCCTGTGGCAGCCGTGTGGTGCTGGGGTCTGACTCAGGCTGCCGGCTAGAAGACAGACAGCCCTTGCTGAGGCACTCATGCACTGGAGACCACTTCCGGCCTCTGAAGCACTTGTCCAGTAGCTCACTCAGTGTCGGCCCCTGCCCCACCCCCTCCCTGCACCTCCCCGCAGCCCTTCACAGCTGTGTTTCATTGTAGGGCCCTTCACCCGTGAGCCCCAATGCCCTGGACCGCACGGCTGCTTGGCTCTTGACCATGAACGCGCAGTTGTTAGAAGACGAGGGCCTGGGCCCAGATCCCCCCCACAGGGATAGGCTCAGGAGTAAGGAGGAGCTCAGCCAAGCAGAAAAGGTAACGCCGGACCCGGGCTGGGCGGGCAGGGCGGGCTGCAGGAGTCTCTCCTGAGAGCCCTCAGTGAGGCGGCTCTGCCTGCTCCTGCCGTGCAGTCCCCTCGAGAAACTTGAAGGAAAGCAGCCAGCGGGGCCTAGCGTAGACCTAAGGTCTCTAGACAGCCTGCACAGTGGACACCTGGGACCAGGGCAGTGCCAGAGCGGCACCTTCAACCTTGTAGGGATTCTCATGCACAGGGAAGCAGAGATGGGGCTCCATGAGATGTCGGGAAAGCCCGTGAGTGCCAGCCACCTTGAGCTCTATGCCTCACCGAGGCCTGGCCCTTCCCAGTTACGAGGACTAGGGGGCTGCGATGATTGTGAAAAATCCAGTTCTCCCCCTTCCTCGCCTCTAGCATTGGTGGGCCCGTGGGGGGCTTCATCCCTACCCACTCGCAGGTTGTCCAGTTGTTGGGACAGTTGCCCTGGATCTGTGGCTACTCCTTCCCGGGATGGTCAGAGCCCAAGTAGGTGGGTGAATTGGGACCAGGCCCCCAGGAAAGCAGCCTCCTCTCAGTCTCGTGCCCCAGAAATCCTGATCTCTCCTCCTGAGAGAATCTGGAGTCAGGGTGGCGAGGCCCATCACCATGCTGCATTTGCTGCCCTCTGCCATGCCCTCAGTCCACTGCTTCTGCTTGCTTTCACAGAACTCGACACAATGCTCCAAGAGCCCAGGGGTTGGGGGGAAGGCGGGGGACGACTCTGCTTCCATTAGTCCTGCATCCTTGAGTCTGGCCCCTTTGACTTCCAGGGCTGCCCCCGCCCCTCCTGTGAGGAGGCCACTGCCTCCTCTTGTCCCCGCAACCTCCCTTCTCCTCCCAAGGGCTTAGTAGAACCTGAGAGCCTGAAGCACCCTGCCTTTGTCTCCTTCCTGTCCTCTCCCATGTCCCACACACCTGCTTCCATAATGTTAGGGTCAGGCTGGGAGACTCGCACCTCGCCTGCTTGTCAGCCACTGTCCATGGGACTTGGTTACCTGTCTGGGCCTTAGTTTTCCTCCCTCAGAGCCCCTGCCTCTCAAAGCACTGCCCAGTGTCCTTTATATATCCTAGGGTTTTTAAACCTTTGTTTATTAAGGAAAGCTTGAGGTGGGCTGGGGATGTGACTCAGGTGGTAGAGTGCCTGCCTTGCAAGGATGCAGCCTTGAGTTCAAATTAACTCTTCACAACTGTCCAGGTCAGGCTGGGAGAGATCCCTAGGTGCTGTGCAAGCTTGAGTCTCATCAGAGCCATGGGCCATTCCCTGCCGGGGTCCCTCCCTGCCTCACCCCTGCCCAGGCTGACCAAGTTATATTCTCTTGTCCCGGGTGCTGTGCTCGTGGCACGCTGCCCCACTGGCAGGACCTGGCAGTACTTCAGGACAAGCTGCGGATCTCCACCAAGAAGCTAGAGGAGTACGAGACCCTGTTCAAATGCCAGGAAGAGACGACTCAGAAGCTGGTGCTAGAGTACCAGGCACGGTTGGAGGAGGGCGAGGAGCGGCTTCGGCGGCAGCAGGAGGACAAGGACATCCAGATGAAGGGCATCATCAGCAGGTGAGGGCAGCTGGTCCATTGCCCTCGGGAGGCGAGGCCGTGGGCCTGTGACAAGCCTTGGCCTCACCCAGGGGAGTTGCTGGTCTGCAGAGACAAGAGAAGTTGAAGCGCAGAATCAGAGGGAGGCTGGACCAGCCAAGACCAGCCTCCAGAGGGCCGAGCAGAAGGCAGAGCTCTCCGGGAGTTGGAAGCTGAATTTGAGGTGCCACTGAGGCCCCCATTCATTGGGGCGGGAGGGGGCAGTGAGAGGGAGGGGAGACAGGATAACCTCAGATTTCTTGGAAGAGCGTCTGGCTGTCAGGGCACCTGCTGCCCATGAGGAGCTATTTGAGCAGAGAGCGAGGGTGACAGTGCTCGTTGGAGATCCGTTGAGTTTCAAGGTGCCTTGGTTATCTGGAGAGGGTTTTGGAGTTAGGTGGTTTTGATTGTTTTTATGTGGCTAAAGACCGTCGGGTCCCGTGTCGACCCAGGGGTTGGGTGGGCATACGTCCCTTAGTGTTTGCCATAGGAGGTGCCGTCTAGGTGCAGTGTCTCCACCAGCTCCTTACAGCAGGAACAGCAGGCATAGCTGGAGAAAGGGGTGGGCTTGTTTGTTTTGTGTCATCTGGCTCTGGACAGACGGAGCAGATGTGCAGAGCCCAGGGAATCCTCCCCGGCTCATGCCTTGTCCTCCACTGGTTTGTCATTTACCTTCCATTTTATTCATTATAAATGATGACTAGAAGCAGAGCAGAGGTGACTAGCAAGCATTTGTGAGTCTAGGGATGGAAGCATTTTCAGCCTGACCACCTCATCTTCCCCACCTGTCCTCTGAGGCACCTGCTTTTGTGCATTCAGAGACAGGCCTCACGTGTCTGCTAACCAATCCTGGCACTTTTCTCCCCTAATAGGATCTGGTCAGTCTGGTGGACAGTCAGGTCTTCTGTATAGAAGAGTCTCATGGATCTATCTTGCATGAGTTGGCTTTGAACCATGATTCTCAGATGCTCAGCCTCCTGAGTAGCTTGACATCTCTTCTTAAGTGTGTCTATGTTGAGGGCTATTATATATTGTGTCAGTAGAATTGACCTCTTTATAAAGTCATTATTACCTGATGATATTTTTTGCTTTGAAATATGCCCTGTCTATTGTAACTGTAGCCACCCCAACTAATTATACTAACTTCCCTCCCCTTCCTTCTTTCCTCTAGAATTTCATTTTAGTAATAGTTGCTTGAATGTACCTACTATTTTATCTGCAACTTTTTGGTCTGCATTACTTACTCTTCTGGTCTGAGCAAGTTACCTGAGTGAAACAAGGAAAGAAAGAGGATTTATTTGTCCCACAATCCCAGACTTTTCGGTCCATGTTTCTTGGCCATGGGCTTGGGCAGCCATGGCTGTGGGAGCACGTGTCAGGGGGAGATTAGAACTCTTGTTTTGACAGGAAGGAGAGAGAACCACGGAAAGGAGCCAGGGACAGTTTACTCCCAAGGACTTGTCCCAGCGACCAACCCCCTCCTTCTTGGTTTTGTCTCCTGAATAGTGGCTCCAGCTGGGGACCAAGTTCAACACCTAAGGCTGCTGGGGACATTCTAAGCAAACCATAACAGAGAGTTCTTGTTTTATTATCCTTCTTCTCAGCACATTTGGTACTTCTGGCTGGCTAGCCAACACTGACTCTTAGAGTTAGGTGTCCAGAGTCGTCATGTTGTTGAAATGCCTCGGGGATGTGCTCAGGACTCGCTGAGGCTGCTTGGAGTCAGCTCAGTCCTTCGAGGTTCACTTTGGGTTCTCTAGGATGAGGCTGCAGGGCCATAAGGCCTCATCTAGCCACGCCGACCAGGTAGTTTTCTGGGGTCCTTGGGGCTCCGTGTGAGTACATCTTTCCATTCTAGCTGCTGGAAATGCAAACGGCTCCTAGGATTATTCTGGGTCCTTTTCAGTGCCTCCTGGCCTGCCTGCTGATTTGCTCCATGCATGCAGATCGGTATTCAGGATTTGTGCACAGACTCAAGGGAAATGAGTGGCGTTTATCTCTGCCTGCCACTGTGCCCTGTACAGCCTACACTTTGACCTGCCAGAATCCCACGTGTCTCCTCAGCTCAGGGAAGGTGCCCGCACCTTCCACTTTCTCCACTCCCTCTACTTGAAGGCCACGAGTTGGGCTCTGGGCTGGTGTGTTGGTTTCTGTTCCCACAGGGCCTGTTCTGTGTCTCATGACCTTTGTTTTACACACGATCCAGCCTTCAGCTTTGTTTTTAAGGCAAGAGTGTATGTCCAGCCTCCTTTTTAATGTAGTTTCCCTTACTTGGTACTGTGTAAGCCTTGCCCACCCTTGACAGGCTTTCCTCAGTGAGTCATTTTTCTGGAAGCAAAGAGCTCACCTTGGAGTGCTCCCCTACTCCTTCTAGTCAGAGCTCTGCCCCAGGGCCTGTTCAGCACTGCGCATGGAGAAAGGTGTGTGTCCAGCAGGCAGATGGAAGCTGACCCCAGAGCCCTGCCTGGGGCAGGTGGAACTAGACATCTCCAGAGCAGTGGCCTGGGAGACAGGGAGCTCTGTGACTGTATGCCTGGGGGCCAGGGCAGGAGGGCCTGGTACTGAAGGCACCTCAGAGAGGAAGGTCAGAGAGCTCCATGGAAAGAGCAAGTGGTGCCTCGTCAGTGTCCCTGTCTGTGCGTCTGTCCCTCGGGGGCTGACCTGAGGACATGGCCTCCTCATGCTCCTCTCTGGACCTGTGCTCCCCTAGCCCTGCAGCCCTGCAGTGCCGTCGCTCAGCTCACCTGCCCACGGCAGCCCTGCTGCCTTGAGTTCCAGGAGGAAAAGGGCTGCGTTTCCCTCCCCTAAAGCTGGCACAGGGCCACTGCCTTGGGGAACATGGAGCGTGTTCAGCTTCTGCCCTGCGCTGGGGTCTGTGAAGATCCCACCTTCATTCCCGGAGGAATGGAGGAAAGGTACAGCCCCGCTGGGCAGAGAAGGGAGGGGATCATGGGCCAGGCCCAGACTGGTCAGCTGCTGGGGGACAGCCTCCCCGACAGGTGTGGGAGGAAGGCCCAAGGAGGGGCTGTCCGCGTGTGCCCCTCTGCCCACGTGATGGGCTTTCCTAAAGGCCTCTCCCCCTCCTCAGCTCACTGTCCCGGGATGTTCTGACTGTCCATGTCTCCGCTTGCAGGTTAATGTCCGTGGAGGAGGAGCTGAAGAAGGACCATGCTGAGATGCAAGCAGCTGTCGATTCCAAACAGAAGATCATTGATGCCCAGGTGGGGGCTCTGGGGCTTTGGCCGGCTGTGTGAAGGACCCGAGCTGAGGCGGGGATGATGCTGGCTTCTCAGTCATACCTCACGGGGCAGAAGCTGAGGGACAGGAGACGAGGAGCTCTGCTCTGGGATGTCAGTCTCGTGGTCTCCACAGGCCACATCTGACCAGGGCGGGCTGTGAGGGGGAAGGGTGGGGCGCTTGGTGGATGTTTGTCACATGGATGCCGGGCCGGGTGTGGAAGCTACCGTGAGGGGAGGGAAATGGGTGGAGCTGGAGATGGACAACCCGTTGGGCAGAGGTTGCATTGGGGCTGGTGTTCAGAGCTGTGGCTTCCAGACTTGGAGAGGTACAGGAGCAGGAGACTCAGCCCCGTCCCTTCGCGCAGGCTCAGGAATTAGCAGTGTCCCGTGTGCACGTGGGTCCAGGGATGCGCGCCCTCGCGCTCTAAGGCAGCCGCCAGCAGCAGCTATGAGAGCTGCTCTGTCTGGGATGAGATGGCACAGAGCCTCTCCCATGGTGCCAGCTGTGCAAGTCTTGGGCCTTTCCCCACACGGTTTTCGTGCATGCCTCTGATCTTCCTGCTCTGCAGCGCTTCTCATAGGCACCCAGAGAGGCCCCTCGCCCAGCATGATCTGTCCTGCAGCTCAGAGACCATTCTGCGCCCCACTAACGCCCTTCCTGCCCACAGGAGAAGCGCATCGCCTCCCTGGACGCTGCCAACGCCCGTCTCATGAGCGCCCTGACGCAGCTGAAAGAGAGGTACAGCATGCAAGCCCGTAACGGCGTCTCCCCCACCAATCCCACCAAATTGCAGATTACCGAGAACGGCGAGTTCAGAAACAGCAGCAATTGTTAACCAGCCCGAGGAGGGAGGACCCTCCCCGAGGAGAGGGGACTGTGGTGGCCCAGGGCAGGGTCTCGGCCAGGAGCACCCACAGTCACAGCCCCTCGTGGTTGGCGGAGGCTGAGGCGCCCCCTCCCTTCGCCCACTGTCCAGGAGGCGGCACGGAGGGAGCCAGAGACTGACGCAGCGTGACGAGGAAGTGGGTCTGGGCGCGGGCACGAGAGACTGCACGCTGGGGAGGGGCAGGGGCAGGGGCCTGCCAAACACATGTCCGTTGCTTGTCGAATTCGGTGTGTGTCACCTTTTCCGCCATGACTAGCCAAGTGCATGTACCCCACACCCTCCTCAGGTAGGGAACTGCCTGGAGAAGGGCCAAGTTAAGGGCTAGGGACCACCCCCCTGCAGCTTCCCGCGGCCTGGCCGTCAGACCTCTGCCCTGGGGGGCTGGGACCTCATGGGTGGGTGCAGACAGGGAGATGGTGGTTGGACAGAGGAGGGATCCTGTGCCCCCCCCCCCAGCAAGTGGCACTGCATGCAGCCCACGGGTTGCCGTGAGGAACCCAGGGTTCGCCCTGTCCCCACCCATCCCATAGTCACTTCCCCTACCTCCTCCCTTCCTTAGACGCATTGCCAAATAGATCAGTGAGAATCCTGGCTTTTTCTTCTGGGCCCTCATATGAGTGGGGCATCTACAGAGCCCGCCATACCTACTGTGTGGGGCTGGGCTGATGCTCTGGGGCTCCCAGAAGCCAGAGAGCTGGCAGAGCTGGCCGCAGGGCACAGTGCACTGTAGCCGCCTTCTCCAGAGGCCTGGGGCACCTGGGGTACAGTGGCCCCCTGGAATGTAGCCAGTTGGTGCTCTCCCAGAAAAGGTGATCTTTCCTCTGATGGCTGAAAAGAAAAAGTCTGAGGCCCGCAGGCCCTGAGAAGGTGGATAACTGTGATTCTTTTTCCTTTCACAGTATGCATTAGAAACAAAAGCCCGCTTGCTCGCTTGCTGGAACACAGGGGCCTTTTAAATTGAGCGTGCGCACTGCATGGGAAATAGCGGCCCCGGAGGATGTTAGACTTGCTCCCTCACCAAGACAGCAGCCGCCTGCACCAGGCCCCGTGTGTGCGGCCGCCTCTTCCTCACCCTTCCCGGCCCCAGCCACGGACCCTGGCACTGCAGCCAGGGGAGGGCACACCCACGGCTGGGGCTGGTTTTCCTCAGCTCTAGGCTGTTCTGTGGCATATCTGCCTCTCCCCACTGTGCGGGACAGACACGGGCAGGAGCTCCACTCTGCCTCTGCCCATTTGTTCCCATGCCCTGTGGAGTCCAAGCTCTGACCCTTAGGCAGGAGTGTGGACCTCTGCCCAGGCAGCAGAGCCAGGGCCGGGCAAGCTGTCTGCGGGGCAGCAGTGTGCCAGAGTCCCCACCAGGAAGGGTGGAAGTCTAGCCAGAGCCACACAGCACGGCCTTCAGGCAGGGCTTTTAGATGGCACTCCAGCGCCGTTAGCTAGAGACGTGCCGGGCCTCAAGTCAGAGACCTCAGGAAGGAAGGAGATGGGGGCTGAGGTCGTGCTGCACCCTCTGTCCTGCCCCTCCTGCCCAGACCCTTGGCTCGTATGTCAGCCAGGGTGGCCTCGGGCAGAGCCAGGTCCCAGTACTGTCCTCTTCCTCCGTCCACGGGCCCTGCTCCCCTCCCCACCAGGCCCTCACCCGTGCCTCCTAACGTGGCCTCGGACTCAGCACCTCCTAGCAATACGGGGGTCCCCAGGGCTGGACAGGAGGGCGCCAGGGCCAGCCGCCATGGGCGCCGTGGCTGCCCCTGCAGGGGTCGAGGGCTCTCAGGCCGAGAGCCTTATTTACCTAGTGCAAAAACTGTAAAAGTGTACAGACTCCTCACAGATTTTTATCTTATTGCAAGTCTGACAATTTTTGTAAATGTGCTTGGTGTTTGACTGTAATGTAACTATTTCACCCACGGGTTGTACATAGTCCTCTAGTCCTGGTGCTGTGGGGGCTGGCCGGGACCACCGCTCCTCTTGTACCTTGGCACCTGGTGGACAGCACTGGGCAAGACGAAGAGCCCTGGGGTCTGGCTGTCCGCCCCACCCGCCGCATCGATTGGCTGGCTTTGCCCCGTGCCACCTGGGTGGAGGCTGCTGGGGACCACGGCCTGGTGGGGCTGGTAAAGGGGTCTCCTGCCCAAGGCCACAGAAAACCCATGTCCTGGGTTTTACCCAGGCCTGGGGGTGCCAGAGGTCCCCCAGGGAAGGGCAGTCTCTGATCCAGGATGGGCCTCCGGGCCACTGAGCCTCAGGTCTGCTGGCCAAAAGACCCCAATCTCCACCCCCAGCACAGAACCTTGACCTTTATTTGCTCAGCTCCTGTGTTCAGGGTGAAGAAACTGCCAAGCTTCCCAGGAATGAAGACTCCCTGACTGCCCAGGAGGGAGTGGGGCCAGGGTCAGGGCCCCCAGCACCTCTGGGCGGGGGGAGGCGCTACTCCCTCACACCCATCCGTCCGGGAGCCAGACTGTCCAGGGAACCAGCCCCTCTTTTCTACACACTCGGCCACAGGCTGCCCCCAACCCCACCGCGTCCCAGCCCCCTCTTTTTGTAAGTATGTGAAAAGGAAAAAAATACAAATGTTGGAGTTTGGCTGGAGCTCCTCACTCCAGCCATGACTTTTAACCATGTAATAATGTACAGAGAAGTGTTGGTGTTCTAAGACTGTGTGGCTGTGCAATTTCTGTACATTTGCAATTAGAAATATTAAAGATTTATTTAGCTATTTTAAGCCTGGTTTGCCTCTCCATTCAGCCATGGTAATTTTATAGGGGTGACTCTCAGTCCTGGTTCCTGTGGAGCCCCACACTTGGCTTCCCCTAGTAGATTCACGGGCTCCCCCTAGTAGATTCTGAGCTGCCACCCCTGGCTCCCAGGAGCTTAGACATGAGGTCTTGGCCCACCAAGTGAGATAAAATGGCCCGTGCACACATGACTGTGGCAGATGCCAGCTTGTGCCAGGCTCTGGGTGAAGGGGCCTGGTCCCTGGCTGGGGGAGGGGTACAGGCAGGACGTGGGGCTGGCCTAGCATCACCAGTTATGTCTCAGCTCGACAGTGTTCTCAAGCTTTCAACACCTGAAGAGTTGAAACTCCCTGCAGATGGAACCCAGGGGCCTAGCTGGAAGAAGCCAGCCCCGAGACCACTGGTGCTGTCCATGGGTGTGTACAGGAAAGGATTGCCCGCCCGCATCTCTCAGTGTCTCACCCTCCAACCAAGGATGCAAGGGAGCACAACCACAGGCTGGACTGTGGCTGGCAGATTGCTTCTGTACTAGGGTGACTATAGCTACTTGTGCCACCCGGGCGCTCTAGTGAGGACCCTCTCTCCATGACAGCCAGCCTGGAATCCACTGCAGGCTGCTGTCACCTCCAGCCTTGAAAAGCAGTATGCAAGTGTAGCTGCTTCTCCAGGCCCGTGTGTGTGTGTGTGTGTGTGTGTGTGTGTGTCTCGGCTTAAATTCATCATCTCATGCCTCTCTTGTTCATGGCTGGCACTCTACCACTTGAGTTATGCTTCTAGTCCAGCTTCTTGCTGATTAGAAATACAATCTCATAGGCTTTGCTATCTGGGTTGGCTGAATACCTTTATTCACTAAATCTCAGCCTCCTACATGTAGCTAGGATTACAGGAGTGAGACACCAACTCCTGGCCTGGGTTTTGTTTGTTTGTGTAAAGACAGTATCTCACTATGTAATTCCTGGAACTCAGGACCTTCTTCCCTCAATCTCCCAAGTGCTGGTTTGACAGGCCTGTACCATCACTGCTGGTGCTAAAATTAGATTTTTAAGAGAAATTAGTCTTTGAATTGAGCAGGGAATATTGATCACATGCATTATCTCCTTCCCTCGCTCAGAGACACTGTACTGACAGGAAAGGAATAAAAGGGTCATCGTGACTAAGGACAGAATTAATGTGGGAGGAGGTGAGAGCATTGGGAACACTGTCGGCTGGGAATGATGAGGGGATGTAGAAGATATTAAGAGACAGCAACTGGGGGTGACTGGATGAAGGTGGGAGAGACCCCTCCCCTCCCTCATGTACTTAGTAAGGCAGTGCCAGGGCACACCCCCTCCTCCGCTCTGCACAACCTCGTCTCCCAGCAGGGGGCTGGATAGTGTGTGGAATAATCCAGTGTGCTCTCGATGAGGGCACACTAGACGGGGCAGGGGGCTCCGGGTGGCACTGGGCAGGAAGCAGGCTGGAAAGGGGTAAGCAAGTCCCTGCCCTCGGTGGTGCTCCCTTTCCTCTCAAGAAAAGACCTTCGATGGCTAAAGTAATATTACTGTGTGGCTCATGGTAATTGTAGCAACTCATGAGGCTGAGATCGGAGGATCCCCATTCAAAGCCAACCCAGGCAGGAAAGTCCAGGAGACTCATCTCCAATTAACCACCAGAAAACTAAAGTGGCATTGTGGCTTGAAGTGGAAGAGCACTAACCTTGAGGGAAAGCGCTCAGGGACAGCACCCAGGCCCTGAGTTCAAGCTCCAGGACTGACAAGAAATACTGCTGTGTGAAATGATTTATCCCAGTCAATCGGCTTCAAGAAAGAAAAGTAGAAGTTTTTTGAGGTACTGCGATTGGAACTCGGGGCCTTGTACAGGCGTGTGCCTGTACAAATTTCTTTTAAAAAACCCAAATCTGGCTACAGGTGTGGCTTGAGTAAGTAATAGAGTGCCTGCCTAGCGAACGTGAAGTGAGACCGTAAGGGGGAAGAGGGGAAAGGAAGGGGAAGGACAAAGGGAGAAACGGGGAGGGGAGTGAAAAGAACAACAGACGGGCAGGTGGGGTAATACTGGGGAGGTTGTAGAACAGTGACCCAAGGGGTGGACAGGTGGCTCACGCCTGTAATCCTAGCTACTCAAGAGGCTGAGACCTGAAGATGGCTGTTGGAAGCCATCCTCAAGAGAGACCCTTATCTTCACTTAGCCAGCAAAAAGAAATCAGAAGTTGGAGACACTATTCAACTGGTAGAGTGCCAGCCAAGAGAGAAAAGGCCAAGCAAGATGGTGAGACCTGGAGTTCAAGTTCCAGTATGCACGTGTGTGCATGCTTACACACACACACACACACAGCCATCCTGGTAAGAAATTTCAAAGGTCCACTGAGCACACTCAGGTGCTCATCTCTGGCCAGTCAACAGCAGTTAAAGCCCTGCAGGGCAGGAGAAGCCGTCAGTCATGGCTGGGCATCTTTTCCAGGGTGTGGCATGTAACTACCAATGGCAGGTCACATGACTGCACCTGGACAGTCCTCTAAACACTATTCAAGAAAGGTGCTGGGGTGAGAAGCTACTGACCTTTTGCCTTGGTCATGGGTAATTTTTCTGCCTATATTGTGACAGTTCTCCACCATCATAAAGCCCAAAGCCTTGGAGAGGGCAGGAAAGCGGTGACTTCCTCAGACACACTGCTGATGCCTGCACCCCAGTGCTGGACGCAGGGAGGAGCGAGACAGGTGAGCAGGTGAACAGATGCTCTCCTCACGACAGCAGCGCCATCCTGTCAGACCATCCAGCCCAGGCCTGTGCCTGTCTGCCTGCTTCCTCTTTCTACCTTCCTTCCTTCCTATCTTTCCCTCCCTCCCTCTTCCTTCCTTCCTTCCTTCCTTCCTTCCTTCCTTCCTTCCTTCCTTCCTTCCTTCCTTCCTTCCTTCCTTCCTTCCTTTCTTTGTTCCAGTCTTGGGCCTTGAACTTAGGGTCTGCATACTATTGCTTAGCTTTTTTGCTCAATGCTGGCACTCTACCTCTTGAATCACAGCTGCACTTTCAGCTGGATAATTGGAGATAAGGATCTCGACTTTCTAGCCTGGACTGGCTTTGAACCGTGATCTTCAGGGGTCAACCTCTAGAGTAGCTAGGATTACAAGGACCACTGGCACCCGGTTGATGCCTTTGTTCTATACCCAGTGCCATTGCTCCCTCGTTCCACATTCAGAGCCAAGTGGCCACTGGCCTTTGTCACCTGTGTATTTCCCAGGCATCAAACTGAGTGTCTGAAACAGACTTAACATTTCCGATCCCCCAAACTTGTCTTTCTTCTCATTTGCAATTCCAAAAACTCACCCCCCCCCAACAGTTCTACCATTCCCCGCCCCCAGTTGCTCAAGCCAAGTGCTAAATGTGACTTCTGGATCCTTGTACTTTAAAAGGGATGTACAGATTTAGAATGATGTTCTTGATACATTATGAGCAAAAGTCAGCAGTCAGTCAGGGTGCCCCCATTCCTTTGAAGAAGAATGAATAAATTCCATGGCACAAAATAAATTACACAGAACAGACATTGAATCAAACACATCCTACTGTGAATGGCAATTTCCCCTTGGGGGGGGGAGGGCTCATAGGATGGGGGAGGCCAGCTTTCACTTTCTCTTTACATTCTTAAGAGTTGCCTGAATATTTTACAACC